CTTTCACATTAGCTGTTTTCATTTTTACAACTCTCAATTCTTAATCCTTCCTATTCTCATGAGTTATTGGACCTATAATTGATTACTTTAAATTTGCTCTGAAAATTTCTCAAAAATCTAAAATCCCCTCTATTTTCTGGTCATACGAAAGTTGGACAAATAAAAAGCTCAGAAAAAGAGTTGAATGCACAGACGAGGGAATAGGAAGGGTCAAGTTAGAGTAATAATTTTTTGACTAAATTTTTAGACAAAATTTAAGGAAAAATTATGAAACAAAAATATTGTGCAATTTAAACTATAATAATTATTGAATAGAAATTAAGTTCTCTAATATTTAGAACCCTCTCTCTATTTAAAAATTTTTGTTGTAAAGTTTAATATAGTTTAAATTGTAAAATAAGATTTTTATAAATTAATACTAAAAATTTAGTCCTAAAAGCTGGTTTAGGTATATCATTATTCGTCTAGTTATTAGTTAATGCCTTTTAGGTCCAATAAGCTTAGCCTCGTAGAGTCGTAGCCCCTGTGGCAAGATTATTGAAAGATATATATAGGCCATATTTTGGGCTTTCCTATCCGATAAAGTTATAGGCTTTATAGCCCATAGTGAAATGAATAAGAGAGAGCAGGGCGAACAATCGGGCTTTTAATATATTCTGGGCCAGGTTTGAGGCAATTAGGTCCAATCTGTTCGAAGGTAAAACGTAAAATTTTAATACAGATCCTGCAACCATGGGCCTTGGCCATACATAACACTGATTGAAGGTAGAGATCCAAACATCTCTTCTATTCTGCTAAAGGCCATACATAACATCTATATTGAGATCAAAGAGTTAATTATTTATTTTTAGTTTGGCCTTCTGAGGGCTTCTTTATTGGTAGGGATAGTAATATGTAACTAGTCTATGTATAAGATTTGATCTCAATGATGAAAAATCAGTCAACGTGGTCTCACTGCTTTTGAAAATCATATCACGCATGTGATCATTTTTTACTGTACTGGCATCTTCTTTCTTTGTTGGCCTTGACAATTAATGTTTACACGTTTTACTTTTAGTACCCATTTTGATTGAATTCAAAAAAAGAAAAAGAAAAAGAAGGATAAGTCCAGAAAATTAGCAAAAGATGAGAAATGGAAAATAGAGAAGAAGAGAACGTCCATATATATAATATAATTCTTACCTTTTCTCATCTTGAATTTTTTTAACTTGTATCTTGAGCACATGTTAAGATTATTTTTTATCATAAAATATACAAATTAATATTAATTTTAATATTAATGTCAAGTGAATAAGTTTAATTAAATATGTGATAAATTAAAAATTAAATTTTTAATATAAATTTAAGATTAAAAAAATATATTTATTTTATTAACATATACTATAAGAAATATAGTACGTGACCGCACCCGCAGCTTTGGCTGTTTTAGTCGGATGCACTTAAACTCATGGTTTCACCAAAGTTTAAAATTGTAATGTGCAGCCTCCTTTCTCCTCCCTCATCACATTCCCCCTGTTCAAAAAATAAAAAAAGAAATATAGTACGTGGCCAAGTTTACCTAACATATGATATTCTTTACTAATTTATCAAGTCAATATTCAATGTAATCTTCAAGTATTTTTCTTTTTTTTTTGAGGAAAAAATCTTCAAGTATTATTTTGTGTTAACATTATAAAAAAAAAAAGAAGGTGTTATTTTGAGCTCGAAAATGGTGTCTTGTTGCTTAAAAAGTTAAAAGTGTTTGTTGTGGTACTGAGGAGTAGTATAGTACTCCACGTGGTGCATTATAATGGAATTCTTCAGACGTATTACGACATTTTCTAAGTAGTTGTCATGTTGACTCCACTAATTAACAACATATTAATTTGTCAAAGCTGGAAATTTGTCAACATGACAACTACTTCTTTTTTTTAAGATAAATTATGGTAACGAAGTCTTTCCTCCTTTATTTTTCTTTATTTATTTTTAAAATGAAGGGTCTTTGCCTCTTCTTTGACATTTCTAGATAGTTCTACTTTCGGTAGTATTAGGACTGCTACCCAAATTGCAACCAACGCGCGTGCAGTACACCTTTAACTCTGTTCTGCCGGTTAATTTTTTTTAATAAATATATTTAATATATTTTTAATCTGTACCTTAAAAAAAATATATTTAAAAAATCCATTTATTATTCCAAGCGAATAGTTTGCCATGTCTCATTAATAAAATTAAAACTAATGGCGGAGGTTGTGGCTAAAAAGGCAAACAATGGAGCATGTAAATGACAAAACCGCAATGACTAAAAACTTGTCCCAAGAGAAAAAGAAAAAATGTACACGTTTTACTTCTAATACCCATTTTGATTGAATTAATAAAAAAAAAAAAAGGGATGTCCAGAAAATTAACAGAAGATGAGAAATGGAAAATGGAGAAGAAGAGAAGTCCATATATATAATATAATTCTTGCCTTTTCACATCTTCAACTCTAACTCTAAAGTAGAGCAAAAGTGGAAAGGTGGGTGGCTAGAAGTAATTATATATTACTACTGATCATTGGCAAACTGAAAAATAAAAGTACACGAATCCAAATCTTTGGAACATTGAGGTACACGTCATCTTAGTGGCCTAATTTAAGAGAGGCCGGTTTGCCATAATGTGGTATATACATATGGAAGATCTGAACCATCCACTCCAAAAAAATTAAAGCACAAA